GATAACTTGGTAAATTTTAATTGTGCAAAATTACTTTTAATCCAACTAGATTTTTAGTTAACCTAATTCACCTCCCCCCGGCACCCAGGTTGTTTCAGCCTTTCAGGACCTTGCATATACAACTAGGATTAAGCCAATAGTTAGAGGAGAGTTGTTAAAGTTCTCCCCGATATCAAGTTTAGGGTCTAAATTCTAGACCTGTCATTTGAAGGTGAAAACAGTGTGGAGAGAGCAGAATTAAAAAAATTAAATTTTGACAAAGCCTAGTAAGGTACATTTACGATTGTATGTTTTCCTAATTTAAGGTTTACAAAATTACAATTTTGAGAAAACACCTAGGGTTTGCTTAGTTTTTTATTTTTCATTTTTTTAAAAATTCGCCCTCGGTGCTGTTTCATTTCCTTTTGGTTTGTGGTGCAAAACACTTTTCATCAAGTGGGTCCATAGCCCCTCAACAATCTTCTTAAAGAAGTCCCCTGAAAACTTTTGCTTTTCCTTATTGTACAGGCACGAGCCGCACGGCAACGGCCAGTTTAATGAAAAAATACACCTTTCAGTTTCAGTACGACGCTGGCTTGCCCTTGTGGGGTTTGCCATCCCACATCGGTTCTGGGGGGGTTTGGGTTTGGTTTATAAGTCCCTGGAAGGACCTCAAGAGTTGCCGGCTTTTGAGGTTTCTTCTGGGATTAGGTTTATAAAAGCCGAATTTCTAGACTTCAGTTTAGAAAAGGTCAAGAGTTTCAGTACGACGGGCGAGAGAAAATGTCGTCCATTGCCGTAATAAACAAGTCAGCATGTGTTGGCTTGTAAACTCGTGTGTTACACGCGAAATAATCTTGATAAGAATTTTATGTTTTACTTTTATTTGTGACGTATATATAATATATACACACAATTGAAATGGGGAGAGAATGAAGAAATTAACGAGTATACAGGGGCGTAAATGAATTTAATTAAATCGAACATCATAATATTTAAATTTATTTTATTATTTTAATGAATTTAAAATTATGTTTAAATTTAATTTATTTTTTTATTGAAATGAACTCAAGTGAGCATTTATGGAGTCAAACTCAAATGAGTTTATATCAACCTGAAATCGAGTCGAATTACAATAGCTTGAATTTTTAACCTATAAATTACAATTTTGTACATCTCGAGCCAAGTATTGATTGAATTTGAAAGTTTATCGAACATAAAGTAGTGTTCAACTTTAGATAAAGTAGTTGGTGGATCAAAATTGAATGAACTCTGGTTGAATTGAACTTAATTCGAATATTGAGTAACATGATTCTTCTTTCAACCCCACGAGCATGGCTGGAAAGGCTAAATCCACACCACTCTAAATTCAAAACTTTTATGTATTATGACTTGTATCACCAATGTTGAAATTTGCAAAAAGGCATGAAATTAATATCGATGGGCATGGATTTAACTCCCAAGAATGTTTATTTTAATTCCAGAACGTATATTATTATCTACCGCTGAATTATATTTGATTATGAAATGGACTTTCATTCAGATGATGACTTTCCAATCTAGTATACAGCAGTATGCAATAGCATGAATTTTTTTTTTCTCTTAAAGATTGAGGAAATGAATATTCAAAAACTTCTTAATGACCTAAATAGTGCACAAGAAAATCAGGAAATTAAATAAGGTCGCTTGAGAATCAGATTGACTGTCAAATCCCATTCTACATTTTCACAATCATCAGAGATTATTTCTAGTGGTAATCAAACAAACTTCTCACACTAAGCTGCTTAATATAATCTTACCCCACCAATGAAAAAAAAAAAAAAAATCAATCTCCAAAAGTGTTTTCCGCAGCGTACATGCGGACAACAGACCATTAAATATGTAGCAGACACATGAATGAATATCTTGGGACCCAAAAAAAAAAAAAAGAAAATTTTAAAGATGTCATAATAGTAGCACACATCTTTGGAAGTTCATTAAAATATCTACGAAGTCTGGTCACATTCAAGCCCCCACTTGTCTCGTGTCAATTGGGCTTCTCTTTCTCCTGATATGACTTTTTCGCAGAAAATTGGTTACATATTTCCTCAGCTGATAGCAACTCTTTCCTTCAAAACATTTTTTTAAAAAAAAACCCAGATGTCCAAGTTAGCTTCACTTTCACAATAATTAACCAAGAGGAAACAAATCTAATGGTTGCTTTTGTAACTCGGATTTTAGGGAATATGTACACCAAGTGGAACATAAAATAATGAATCCTACCCTCTAATTTGATGCCAATTCCTGACTTTATATGGTGAATAACTTTACACAATGCAAGGCCACAATTGTGCTTGCTTTACCATTATATTCTTTTAACATTATATCGAAGGAAGGTTAAAGAGACCGTGTATAAGGGGTTAGTAGGATTTGATCGCGTGTCAGAACACCTTTTTTAGATTTTTTTTCACTGCTTGTGAGGTTTGAATCCCCAATCTACAGCAAAAAAAAAAAAAAACTTGGTGATCTAGTAGGATTTGATCGCGTGTCAGAACACCTCTTTTAGATTTTTTTCACTGCTGGTAAGGTTTGATTCCCCAACCTACAGCCAAAAAAAAAACTTGGTGACTATTGTACCAAAGCTCAGTAACTTTTACCATTATATTCACAATTTCCTATTTAACTAAGAGCAGAACTTCTGCAGGGCTTGCAGCTAAAGTCATCAAATTAGGTGAGGAAAGCGTCGTAAGTCATAACAAGCTAAAAAGTATGAGACAATTTCAGAGAATCAAAAGACCCCGTCAAAGACTTCCAACCATATTGCACATAATTACTAGAGTTGACAAAGGTAGTTAATAGCTAAAACCTATTCTGGCTTGAACGGCTCCTTCAGTTCTTGGTTGGACCACAAAATACTACAACTTCACGTCTTTTTTTGACCACAAAAAAAAAAAAAAAATACACACACATCCTTTGTCTTCCCCAGGTGGACGGACACCCACAACTCAAAGTCTCTGGATGAGTTTCTCAGCAAGTGTCATGCAATTTTAGGAGACAATTTAAGACCAAAATTCCCCATTTGAATTTTGTGTGATGGAGATTGAGATTCGAAGACATTTTGAAAATGTGGTATGTGTCGTGGATGAATAGTTAGCCATTGACTGTATTAATGTACAACACACTAGTTGCCAAAAGAAAATATGATCTTCACTTTTGCGAAGGTAATATTGAAAAATCAATAGATCGGCTCTAGATCCTCTGTCAGAGAATTATGTGTTACACGTATAAATTACACCCGATTGGTTAAACCAACCCAATGAAAAAATATACCTTTTATAATGCAAGTTTTACAGCGTAACAAAGGATCCGCAGCCCACAAGATAGACATAAAAATTTAACACTAAACCCCTCCGCATGCTTTATGAGGATATCCACATTTACCTCGTTCAACTAATACTGGCAATTATTGAGGTCCCGAATTCAAAGCATGTCTTCTTTCTCCACCCCTTAGTTATGTTTGTCAAACTGGGTATTACTACTGCAAAGTATCCCTTGAGCAGTTCACTGAAGTCTCTTCTGCTCTGGCCCATGTGGGACATCCAAAGGTACAAAACAACTGAAGTCTCCCCTGATGCTCTCTGCACATCAATGTCATGAGATGATTATGTCGTATCTGAATGGGATGTCCTACTGACCAGGATTCTAGTGGAACCATGTCTAAGTATTCTTCCATTATTTTCGCTTCGATCATCTTATCATTGAGCTGCTCTGCTGTTTCTGATTTGAGTTTCTGGCACCTGCAACAGTATGTCAGACAGTCTGATCGAAAATTTGAGCAGAAAACCAATCGGTTTTGGGAGTTCCATGAGCAATCCAATAGCTGGTTGAAGTGGAACTCCCTTTTGATCTTGTTTCTTGTGTCAATGATACTTGTACAAGAGTTGGTTCAGTTGATCATCAGACGATGGACAAGATTGAAGACACAGAAGAACTTGATGTTCCTGAGTCGAAAAGGAGCTCTGAAAAGGAGGATTGTTTAAAAGCAGGGGTAGGGGAAAATTCTAATGCTGTTCTGCCTTTCAGAAAGAGAGTTTCTCTAACAAAAATGTCTGATACATCCATCTGGATTACTGGACCTAGTGGATCAATCTATGAGAGGTTTTGGAACGGTTTGCAGTGGGTAATAGCACCACATGATCTACCAGCAAGTGCAGGGTATGCGATTTCTGTCTTCATTGTTAATTCAGACAGATAATTCTTGCTCTCTCAGAGGGCAGGGAATCTGTACGCAGGTACTAATCTCCGAAGGAAAACACGTTTGCATCATCCAAATCTGTAAGTCCAAACAGGAATAAATATGAAGTCTACTGCATAGATGTCAATGAAAGATGTCCAAAGATGGAACAAGAACAGATTAAAGAAGAACAACAACAGAATGAGTGCCACACACAATTTGCTTCAGAAATTTTAAGATTTTATATTGACTTCAAGAATCAGAATTCACAAAGCTATTGAATTTTGGGTTACACAACTGTATAAGTTATTGCAACATAGAGTCCACAACAACAGAATGAGTGCCACACACGATTTGCTTCAGAAATTTTAAGATTTTGTATTGACTTCAAGAATCAGTCTTGTTACTGCATTTCAATCAGTCCTCTATAGGTGTGAGACACTTTTAAGTATCACAAAATTCACAAAAGCTATTGAATTTAGATTATAACAACTGTACAGTTTTTGCAGCATAGAGTCCACATTCCTTCTTTTGGATTTTATGACAGATGCAGCTGAATGAAAATGCACATCCAGTTTGATTGATTTCACACCACTGATCAATAACAGTACAAGCCATGAAACAGGACAAAGATTTCCCGCTCGAGTAATTTCTGGAGTGACCTCAGAAGATAGGAGAGTGAGTAAAATACTGATTTCAGAACATTCCAATTCAAAGCAGATTCATTTGCTGGAAAACAAAGTTCTGTTACAAGCAAAACTTGCCAATTCAGACTCAAGCTAACAATTTGTTTCCACCTCACCATCAGGAGATTATATTTGTGCACAAAGAATCGATCATTAATAGAACTTATTGGGACTGAACCTACCAGGTGAGACCAGCCAAAAAGGCCGTTACTAGCTATTATACATGCACCTTAACATATCAATGCAAAAAAAATGAATTCATGAAACTTTTCCAAGTTATACACTGCTCTTTGCTGTGCACAGATGGAAAAATCATGGTCGACCACCTGGTGCCGATGTTGAAGCAATAGTCGATGCTACTTCTGTTAGACCAGAAGCAGTATTTACTGTAAGGTAAGTTCCCTCTCCTTACTTTGTTTGGTATGAGGGATGAAAGTAAATATACTGAGGAGATACTACGTTGTCTATATTTATCAAATCTACGTTATTCGTTCATTGATTTGGAGGAGACATGGTGCAACAGTGCTGCAGGAGATCTCTACGAATATGACCAGAGTTCTAAGCCAGCATGGAAGAAACACATACAAAAAGAAGGATCAGAACTAGATCTCTCTTTGGCTCCATTGAAAGGTTGCAGCTTCCATGGACTGAATGGACCTACTTCAGTGTCAATCTTTCTTTTAACCAAGGTACTGGATGCTTCATCTTATCAGTCGGATGAGTGAATGATTATATATTGAGCAATCATTCATATGAAGCATGAATTATAATGAGATGAATACTTTAGAGTAAGTGTCAAGCAGATTCAAGAAGATTGAGGATGACTTGAGGTTTCAAGGACTATGTGAAGCACACAAATGGTTAGTTGGCAAAACGTGTCAAAAACATTCAAGAAGCAGCTGAGGATAGTAAAAGACTTTCCAGAAACAATTAAATCACATCAATGTTTAAGAAAGCCACTGATTCTTGTTCCCACCATTTAACTGCATCAAAATGAAAAGAGAAAGATCTTCGGCTAAAAACTACTCACACCAACTTCTTAAGTATCTAATATTCTGTTGACAGAGTTCCTATTCAATCAAAGGAGAGCCACTGCCTTTTTCCCATACCAAGAAGCAATTATTTTCTTCTTGCAATTAGGTACTTCAGTCTTGTCATCATTTGGCTGGATATGATGTATAGTTCCAATTTTCACCTGTGCTACATGATACGAACAGGGAGGAGACTTGGTTGAGAGGCAATTCCAACAGAGGAAGTGGAAATGGGTTCCCCATGGAAGTCCAAGGATCATTTCTTGACATCCATCACATGCAATCCTCAAGATGAACCAAATGAGAACCTAATACAATGTTTCTCACTACAGCAGCTGGATTAGTTTTTGAATATCGAATTCCAAAACAATCAGGTACATCACTTCTATGGATTGCCATTTTTCTGAAATAGTTGTTTGACTTTATTAACTAGCGCAGTCTTGGGGAAAGCCAGTTGCTAAGTAGAAATTGAAATGGAGGCCTAATAGGAAAATACAAATATTTTCTAGCTAGAAGGAAAACATGAATTGTCTTCCTACTTTTTAGCCAGCATTAAGGTTGAACGGATTTATCTTTGATGGCATGAATCATTTAGTATCCCAGGAATTGATTTTGATACAATGCAAGATATGCAACATGAGATGGGATTCCTCTTTTAAGATTGCCTTCTATGTATCTTGTTGATTATTTACACCTTTCTTCCATCTACCTACACACATCTTGATATACTTCCAAAGCTCAACCACCCATGTAAGTATACGTGCTGAAAAAAAAAAAATCCCTAAGTGTCTGCAGATAACTAAGTATCAGAAACCTGCTAAATGCTAATTTAAAGGAGAGCCTGACCTTTCTCTTGTTTTTTCATGGCTCATTTCCTTATTAGTGATTCTACAAAAATGATGAATATAACAATGAAACTTAGCAGTTGAAATTCCAAATACTACATGATAACATGTTATTTTGATTCCCTGTGACTCTTCATATATTCGCTGCTACGATATTATAATTTACCATAGAATGTTCACCTCTCAGAATTAGCTTCACGTCAAACTAGAGCATATAATTGTGACTCACAGAAACGATCGTCAGCTGCTGAATAAGAATAAGTTCATAAGGTTGGAACAAGACATTTCCTTAGGGAGCACAATTAATTATCAAATATAAAGGATTCTAGGAAATTTATGTTGCTGCACACACATAATAACACAGGAAGACAAGCATATCAGCCACATGTACAGTACATGAATGTAATTCTGTCGCTCTGCCATTTGTAATGAGTTTCCAGCCCGGTGGTGAAGACATTACAAGAAGCAGAAGTAATTCATTAGTACAAGAAGACCACAAGTCCATGTTTCACTGGCAGAAGAAAATCTCGCTTTTACTCACTTTCACTCTCTTTCCTCTTTTCCTAATAGTGGTGCATTTTCCCTCTCTTCGACAACTATATTTACAAATAAGTGACAATGCACCTTATTGTATTAAAAGGGAAAGAACACCAGCTTTCGCTTAACAGCCCTTTAATGTTCAATTTGATTGTTCAATCCATGAAATCCTACGGTTCACAGAGGCAGTGTTGTGTTTCAACCGTACTTAATAGCATCCAAATCAATTCAATTACACAAGCCTAGTGAATCCTAATAATATAAAAACTTTAAATTTGTGTAATCCATACAAAGGTTCAACATGCACTTTACTCATATTGCCTCATTTCATTTCATTTCAAGATAACCATTTGTAATACCATACCTCCTCCATTTCAGATAGCTGGCTCTATTATAACAATGCCCTAAGGTTTCAGTAATATGCAGATTTATCAGAATCCAATGACAAGTCTGATCAACAAGTTTCCTTATATGCGCCTAGGCTATTGAAAAAAGAGTTCCTTTTAATCTCTGATAGAGAACTAAAACTTTTGAGGTATCTACATTTAAGTAACTAGACAGACATTCCAAGCACTGTAATTAGCATGTATCAAGTGTCATCGACTGTTGAAGATGTCTGCATCTGTAAGATAAACTTCTGAAGTGAGGAAACTGTGTTGAGAAAATTCTTTGATCTTATTAGCATTCTTATGAAGATGTTCAAATCTTTTGGCAGGCCAAAATCTTTTGAACAGATACTAACTTCTTTATATCACAAATTAATAACTATAACACATGAAATGTCACAAAACACGCACTAGTCCTGAGATAAGAGATTCTTTCACAAGATCAGTAATGAGTTAAAGGAGGATTGATTTGAAGAAATTAAGCCAAGTTTGTTTAGTCTTTGATAACCCTTTGTCTCAGTCAAGCGAACATGAAAGCCAAGCATTTTTATTAGGCAGCCCGATATGGGAGCTTTTCTCTTATTTTAATTAAAGGGGTGGTGAGAGTTTAACTTTCTGCGGCGTACTTCTGTCTCAGAAAAAGTTTTCTTTAATCTACTTGTCAAACCATTCTCCATTTAGATAATGAACTGAGACCTCTTTCTTTGTATCCAACTTTATGATTAGACAGAGACCTAGCCAAAGTGTTCTATCCTATCGAAAAGGAAAATCTTTTGCAATATACAATGCATATTGGAAATCGCCACAGGATGCCAAGTTTCAAGGTCAACCAGATTGCTGCATCTATTTCCTGACCACTCCAGCCATCTAAGGAGGCAGGACTAAAGAACTTGTAACAAATCACATACCCATGTGCAGATTATCATACATGCACAATGCATGTCCATTTGTGTCTCTTATTGAGAAATCAGTTATCAATTGCAATGGAAAACTCGAAAGATTAATTGAACTACAATCTTGATGTCAATATATTTTATGTGAAGACAGGTGCATCCCAGGAGAACCAAATTCTAGAGCATTGGGTGAATCACATTCATCCTTCAAATGCAAAAATAGCAAAACGAATTACAGGGCTCCAATTGCAAGTTGGCAGAATGATTTTTCCATTAGATGATGGAAGGCTTTCAGAATTGCATCTACAGGTATTGGTGGTGAAAGTTCAGGACCAAGTCAGCAGATTAATGCCCGGAGAAGAGTATCCCCCAAGTATGTATGGTCCATATTAGATGCTCCAGAAACTGAAGGATGGAATGCAGAATACTGTACTGAAGAATATGGACCTACAAATTGCATTTCAGGGATGAAAGAGGAAACCAATGATGAAGATCTTACAGGATTAATATCAAGAAGGAGAAAAGGAATTAGTTCACAACAAAACTACTTGTTACTTGGCATATCTGGCAGCAGCTCAACCAAGACCTTAGAAGATCTAGTATAGCAGATCACTCGATTACCAAAAACTTCCGTCTCAGAGCAATGCATGGAGGAAAATCCTTCTTCTGATAACAGATGAGGGCCTGACATTTGAATACCTAAGTGCCGAAAATGTGTGGTTCTGGTTGAGGCACGAGCATTCAACGGCCATCAGGGGCGCAGTCGGAAACTACAATGGAAGTTTGTATTTGATTGATGAGTATGGAAGTCTGTTTATTAGAGAAAGAAGTGGAAATGAACTAGCATGGATAAATTGCACTGCCATAAAGAAAGGAAGACAAGTGATTGGAGGTCCACCATGGGATGGCATTCCTGGAAAGACACAGAAAGTAACAGCAACTGATGCACTCTTTTTTGTCAGCAGAAGTGGAAGGTTATTACAGCTAACTGTAAGTTGCATTATGCTTTAAATTTGAATCTTATATTTGACAAGGTGGTTTCAAACAATTGAGATACAATTGTCTACAACAAATTGTCCTTGGGATGAAATCCTCCAACAAGTTCTTTCAGTACTTAGATGGAATCACTTATGGAAATAGTTTCAGAATGTCCATCAATTTTCGAGATGAAGAAATCAATCCAAATGTTGTTTTTTCTTTCATCCATTCTTATGGAATCAATGCTCACTTAATCAGCCATATGTTGCAACCCTGTATTTCTAATTATTTGAAATAGATCAGTAATCAAAATTTTAGGCCTCTGATCATCTGTCAACAAGTCAAAATTAGAACAATAATGAAGATTATCACAAGGTGAGCATGAAAAGAAAGATATATCAAGTGATTCAGTGGTCAATAAGCCTCGTGAAAGTAAAATTTTTCATTTCTAATAACTGGTTGATATTTTTTAGCGAAATCACAAAACAAAAAGTCTTGTTTTTCTGCTCAGACAAGTTCTGCTGATAACTGTAAAGTATAACTACTTCTGTATAGGTTGCATTGAGAAAGTTCAAATGGAAAGATTGTCGAAACCCACCAAATACTAAGATTGCTTGCATAGCTGATCAGGAGGCTCTCAGAGAAAAAATAGTGTTTGTTGTCGGGAGGAATGGTCGACTGTACCAGTACAACAAGGTTACAGAGCTTTGGCATGAGCATTACCAGTCTCAACACTTAGTTCTATCAAGATTGCCTGGAACAGCTATGAGGCCATCACCTTTATCATTAAAGGGTTCTCTTTTCATGCTTTCTGAAAATGGTGGACTAGTTGAATATCACTGGAATCAGTTAGACGGTTGGAATTGGGTGGAACATGGAACACCAAATAGTAATGTTACATTAGTTGGTTCACCAGGACCTTGCTTTGAAGGTGGCCAACTATTTCTGATTGGTTCAGATGGTAATGTTTATCTTAGGTTCCTGGACCAAGCAACATGGAAATGGAAGAACTGTGGCTTTCCATACACTGAAACTAAGGTGGATGCGGATCAAAAGCAGATTGGAGAAGGAAATGGAAACAAAGATATCTGTATCAACGAAGAAATTGAAACCAGCTTTGAGAAACTAGCAGAGAACTTGCAAGCTATTAACAAAAATTGTGATCCTAAGGTGAATGACTCTCATCAGTATCAACAAAACTTACACATACAAAATGTCTTATTTCCTCTGACTTCTTAGTGAACAATATGCAGGTGGAGTCTACACGTCCAATTTCATTTGCAGAAACCTCAGTCATATTTGAGCTAAGAGATGGCAGAGTAAGCAATCTAATTCATTGCCTACTCTAAGTTTCGTATCGTACCTAGTGCATCTAATTATCATCTGCTAACTATTACAACAGCCATACACTGGTGACGGTAAGACTGAAACTTCCAACATGCAACACAAGAACACTTGAATAATGAGAAATGTTATAATGATCTACCTCTTTTGTAAATGCAGTTTATGATAGGATTAATCTTCTTACAAGTAACACATTGTGAAAATTTAAGTGACAGCACACAGACTTCGGTGGAATTCTTATGCTTCTCTAAGAAAATCATAATATTTCAACATTTTCATCTCCAAACAAAGTAAACATATTAAATCTTGGCTTTGAGTATTTTGAAAATGTACAAGTTTAAACTCAAGTCTTCTACTTGATACTGTTGCTGATGGAATTGATTCATGACAGTTGGCAGAGTTGCAGAAAACTGGAGATGCAAACTGGGCTTGGTCACGTTCCATTGGGACTCCCACAAGTTTATGCCTAGCTAACTATTGGACAACTTTGGCTTCATAAGATACAAATGCCTTATTCAATACAAAAAAGGCTAGAACAGTTCACAGCATAGCAAAATACACATTTCAATAGGTTGCAGTATGAAAATGTTGTACAGTCTCTAGAGAAGGATATTTACAGAAATATTATACTGAATGGAGTGTTTCTCTATTTCTTTTCTTACTTGTTCTTATGTATTCCTCCATCACAGAGAAGCACAGAACAAGAATGTAATCAGCTGTAAAGCAGTAATGCAAAGGAAAGGTACACAAAATGATGAATAAAATTTGGGTGTATTTATTGTATGAGCTTCAAGTTTATATCTCTTCCAGCATAGAGAATTTCTTTAATCTTTATGCTGAGGTCCTTAAACATTTTCGTTTCATTTGATAGTTGAGGTCTCTAAATGCATGACTGAAATTCTTGGATTCTGGTACTTGAGAAAAGAGAAAAATCAGTGTGTTGGAAATTAAGTTTCTGAATTTCTTAGCAGAAGCTACAAATGAATCCTGATGCAAGTCTGCATTACAGTATCAGCTCATCAAGATTAACATTAATCTGATGAAACAGAAGACTAGAGTTAAACTGTGTTAAGATTGTAGTAACCATTGTCTGTGGCTGGGATAACAGGCTAACAGCCAATCCCAGTACAGACTCTTCACAGGACCGTTCTGACTTTCAGCTGTATAGTGATTCTACTTTATTGCTCTCTTTTCTGCAAGAACAAAGAGCTATGCTATGCTCAACAAGCATCTGATTGATAGAAACATTCAAGTATGAAGAACCATTACAAGGACAATGTCTCCTCAAGGTATGTGTCCTCAAGTGTTTCCACAGTATAAGAAAATTCATACGAAGCTGCAGTTTTAGAGCAAGAAGTATCCCTTCAGGGCTTCACAATTCTTTATGGACATTTTTTTGTTCCATTATCAGAACCCTCTCAATTGCCGGAGTCATTGAGTCGGTTTTGAAGCAAAGGTTAAGTACATTGTGCATCATCTCACGGCCTAAATTGTGGCAGTGTTTCACATTTCTCTATTGCTAGGAAAGCCATGTGAATGGAGATTAAGTCAAGTCTTTGGATCAAGCAGAGTTAGGAGTTTGGATGGTATAACTTCATCTAATATCTTCAAAAACAATTGAATATTTTATAGTGAGATGGCTTCATAGCATGTTAAATATTTAGTATTTTCTTGTGGTTGTATAGTTTGTTACTTCTTATACAATTTGATATACAATCATATAACAGTATTATATGTATAAATTTTATTCATACACACCAACTTAATATATAAATTTAATTCACTAATTAATCGTACACCAAATTTTGAAGAAGTACTACAATAGTTTATAATTGCACTAAATCCAACCCTACCTATCCAAACATCTCGCAACATCATTTCACCATGACCACACAAATTGCCCCAATCCTTCCTAACACTGTTTCACTATGATACATACTTTGTCAATTAGCTGTTTTGAGCCTAAAATTTTTTGCGACCAGAAGGAAATGCCCTTTTAACCTATTTATTCAATAGTAAGTGACGTAATGGATCTCACCAGAGACTAACAAAGATGTCTCCATGAGCTCTTTTTACTACAATACGGTAAACTAACAAGACGTCTACATGGGCTCCTTTTCCTACAATACAGTACATCACTTCTGCCTGGAAAATGCCAAATCATTGTGTCCAAAATAACCACGACATTAAGTTGAAGTTTAATTGGCATTTGTTAAGACGTTGGTTGCCCGAAATAGACTGATCATGCCCACTTCCATACGATGGGAAAATTATCAACTTACGTTTTGAACTGTATATGTAATTTCTTGACGATTTCACTGCTGTTACATGAGGGTGATATACGGTTTGTTGGCCAAAAAGATCAAGAATGGGTTTGCTTAGAAATTAAACATTTGTCTGCATAATTTTGTAGAGAGACTTCATCTCAAGCCAAAAGCAACCCTTTTTTTTTTCTTTTTTTTTTTTGGGTCAAGTGTTGCTACCACCAACAAGAAATTTGAGGATACAGTCTCAAATTATAAGCCAAAGACAAATTAAACAGACTACAATACAATACATCCTATCGCTTAAACATTCTTTTCGCATACTGATAGTTAATTCTTTTCAGAAATGAACAAATAGGGAGAGCAATTTGTCAACTAGACAGAGACCAACTCACGCAAACAACCCTAGGCCAAAATATCTACTAAGCTGCAAAACATCACACGATTAAATCAGCAGGCTCCAAAGCCTATGATCCTCAAATCATTCATGAGTGGCACCACCTTTCACTTGAAACAACCCAAGCGCAATCATAAATCTCCCTTACATGAGCGCCAATCTTCCCATGAGATAAGAGCTTGGTTTTTTCTGGAAATTTCCCAGCAATTCCAACTTGGAAGGAAATACGAGACACGAGAAGAGTCATCCGATGCAAGCATGAAAACATTTTACTAGCTAGGAGAAGATGAGAACAAGACAAGCAAAGCAGACAAGGTAAACAACCAAGCCCCATCTAATCTGACAGCATCAGCAAAGCGACAGAAATCACTCATTTGTTCACATAGACTCCTGAATAAAATCAATCCTATGCCATCCTAAAATGGGTGGCCAAATAAAATTGCAGCACAATCAAGAGAATCTCAGAGGCCTCCACTGCAGCAATAAACAAAGAGCAGAAAGGAAATTAACAGTATCCTCCAGCTGTGATCATACAAAATTAGTTAACCAGCATACATAAGGGCTTCTTTCTCTTAACCCATATCGGAACCTCAAACATCAAATGGAAGTGATTAAAATCTTCTCCTTGGGCTTCTAGAGCGATGACCACGTGGAGATCTGCAAAATTTAGACCCAAAAAGTTAAATCTTACAAGTAATTCCAATGCTCAACTCTTAGTATCCTACACTAATATGACATACACATGTTCAAGACCGAAAGCATTAATCACATCCCAATATCGCTTGTCATCCAAAGTGCAAAACATCCACCTCATAACTCATTTGTTGAAGAAACTAAAAAATTATGACTTCACACATCCAAGGTCAGAACAAATGGGAGACGAGAATATCCACCATAGCAGGAAAAGATGCTAATTCCCCCAAAGATCATCCAGCCTGGAAAATTGCTAACTTGAAAACGAAATTGTGATTTGTACTTCTAAGTGGGAAAAGATGCAAACAATGTCAGGCAAAAGAAAAAATCCTAGAAAACTGATTCTCAAACCTAGTTTCCCAAAAAAAAAAAAGGGTACCATAAACTGGCTTTGCAAAAAATACCAGTTGAATGAAAGAGAAAAGAAACAGCACTTTTGACAATAATAGAAACACCCAAAGACCACATAATTCTACAGTCATCATGATTTTCAAGTATTCATGTGACAGGAAATACACATACATACTGCTATATTTGTTCATTTTAATGTCATCTAACATATGCAGAATTACACACTAACAAAGCCTTATTGACCTGCAACGTTTATGGCATAAATTAATAAATCAAATTAGATGTTCTGCAAACATACCTCCTCCTCATATTCTTCCTTTTAAATGGACCTTTGCTGAATGCCCAATCAACATGTATAGTGTGGGTGTAGAATTCAGTTCCATCCATTTCGTGTATGGCTTTCTCTGCTTCTTCGCGGTCCTCGTACTCAATAAGTGCATAACCCTGCACAAACCAATTCAATCTCAATTCTTTTGCCACCCCAAAAAAAAAAAAAAAAAAGTCCAAGGAACAGCAAACAAGGTCACGTAAAAGACTCAAGGAAACCGCCAGCACAAAAATGAGAAGCAGAAGAAAATATATCTTTGTAAGTGAAGATAGAGTTCATTACACAAACACATGAGCCCTTAGTGAACAAAATATAATTTCAAGTAAAAACAACTTATATATTTAGTAGCAAGGCAAAAGATTCAGAGATGCACGACAGAAAAGCGTGTTCCAATTATGTGGTACATGTTAGGGCATATATAGTGCGATCTATGAGCAAACTCCCAGGCTTTTAGCTGCAAAGAACAAGACTGTATAATTCATTATCTTTTCCTCAGCTAGCTATTTTACTCTTCTGGGAGTTTGTAGGGGTCCTGAAGTTCATGATTGACAGGAAATTCAATTCTATTTTAGAAGAGAAGCTAGACTAGAAAAATATTCTACACCTTACAAATTTTTGCTTACCTTGACAAATCCAGTCCTGCGATCAAGATTCAAATGCAAGTTTTTAATCTCTCCAAACTCACGAAATGCATTCAACAGCTCATCTTCTTGTAACTCTTCATGAACTCCAGTAACCAATATAATCCATCCTTCGATTGCTGCATAAATCATTACCAACAAAATTTTTATTAGCATTTTAAATTTCTCAAAGAATAACCCTAAATCCAGAGCATCAAACGTAAAGGCCACTACGTAATAAAGCAAAAGCCTCCAAGAGTTTGATAATGTGGTCATTCCATCTTTTTTTTTTTATTTCTTTTTGCAATACAATATAAGTAAATGCATTAATAGGCCAAGTATGTATTACAGTTTTCACCTTCTAGGAAAGTCATGCATAATTATTGTAAATTAACAAACTTTATATAAATAATTCAATTTCCCACAACATATGTTTCATATTTCATCCTTTCTCCATTTATTGCCCAACTTAGTGACCAATTAACCTGGGCAGCTAATTTGACTGATGCACATATAAGTTCATTATTTCATAAAAAACTCAATACATTTGAGGCCATTCAATGCACATGAGAATAAAAGGGCTTTAAAAAGGCAGTCTCAACGGAAGGAAGGGCTACACTATGAGCAAAAACCATTTTCAGTTTTCCTTTGTCAAAGAATAGGATAGCAGCAGCTTTTTAACCTTCAGAAAATTGAAACCCAAATCATAAATTTTGTAATTTCCTTGACAAGTATAAACAGCCTTATGATTAAAATCCTGAATGTGATTCTAAAGCAGAATAGGCAACAGGAGTAGTTAGATTTTGCAGGCTGGCTGCATGTTGTCAAGACCATTGAAATGTACTGGTCCAAAACATTTCATCACTCAAAGGGAAAGGAAGATTCCTTAGTATCTGCTCACACTGGTTGCGATCCTGAATGTGATTCTAGAGCAGAATAGGCAATAGGAGTAGTTAGATTTTGCAGGCCAGCTGCATGTTGTCAAGACCATTGAAATGTACTGGTCCAAAATATTTCATCACTCAAAGGGAAAGGAAGATTCCTTAGTATCTGCTCACACTGGTTGCAACACATTCCCCTTAAGCAAATGCCTCAGTAAGAAAAAACAGGGCTTTTGCTCATTATAGGACTTGATCAAACATATCACCACATTAAAGGGTCCTCTTGGATGGTGTATTCTATGGATGTTTGCCTGAAATTTTACTGTAGCTCACTATAGCCGTCTTAGGAATATATTGATGTTAGTCTGCATGATGTGGGAATGTTGGGGGAGGGTGGTGGTAGAAGAGGGAAAGGGGTGCGTGTCATTGGGTATTTTGGGGTGTTTTTTCTAGCGTTTCTGTTCTAACAGGTTTCTGTAGATATGTACACCTACTAAAGTATAAATGTCCATAATGGGACCACACTAACACAGTACATACTCTGTTCAAAACTTATTGTACCAGATTGAAGCTAGAGAAACTAATGACACAGCTTACTGCTCAAACTGGGTTATGATGAGAAGACAAATCCTAAGCTTCCCTGCCAAAGCCTAGACCTCTTCATTGATTAAAACTGTGGCTGAACATAAAGTAAATGAAGCAACACCATCACATAACGCTACTTATAACTGGACTTTCCGGTTCTTTTTTATCTCAATCCTACAAACAACGCCAACATACGGCTTCCAAAAGATTCAACCAAAAACCTTGAAATATATATGAACCTGTGCATTTTCCCCATTGGTCCCATTGCCTTCATACATGGATAACAATGATGCCCAATCAGGACATATTAATTGCTACGAACACATTACCCATAGTACAGAAAACCAGTCACCAATGTTGAACAAGAAGTATTTACTAAAAGCTTGTCAAAACAAAAGGCCGAACTAACAACTAACAGCCAAAAAGAAGATGTTACTGTGTAAAACCAGTAAGAGACAAACGTCCATAATGTCCTCCCACAACTCCCAGAAAGACTTTCTCATAGCATCACGATCACTCAAAACCCCAGAAGAATACTACTCCCAGATCCTTTCTGTCTTCATACTTCCATGTGCTGCTCAAAACAGATCATTATAAATAAAATTATGATCCCAAATATTACCCGCTCACACATCATAGCACATGTACACGTATTACGCTTGTATTTTTGCCTATATGAAGAGAGGTGTATATATGGTACTTTTGCACCAAAACCACCAAGAAAGCCGGATTAAGACTTAATTCTCCAAATTCGTTTCTTCTATTCTCACAAAGTACTACGTTTTTCACAACTTTCAAGTAACCAAAAAAACCAATTCTTAGCACCAATTGATAATGGAAAGAAAAAACGGAGGCGAACAAAAAAAAATAACAAGTAAAAATTCAGAAATACAACACCTTTCTCCTCCCACAAAAAAAGTCATAAAACCTAGCGACACAGCAGGACAAAAAAAAGCCAAAACAATTCCCAAAACAGCAAACCCCCCCCCCCCCCAAAAATGCGCCACTACTGGAAAAAATGTAAAGAACGCCGAAAATTGAACTAACATCGTTCAGGACCAGGGCCGCCTTCGGAGTCCAGCGAGTCAAAAGGAGCAGACATGCGAGCATTTCGGTCAGCGGTGGTGGCCTCCTCACGGAAGCCGCGGCCTTTAGTCTTCTTAGCGGCGGAGAAGGAGGAAGAGGAGCCGCCGGTGATGGCGGACTTGAGCTTAGGAATTGGTGCCCGAGGCGAAGCCGCCCCGTCGACGTCCTCGTCCATCAAATCGTCATCCTCCGGCTCGAAATCCACAGCTTCCACCTCCGGATTAGCCATTAAAGCTGGTCACGAAATAGTAGTATCACTCTCTCGAGAAGGAGACTTCTTTAGGGCAAGATTTTATTTTGGGGATTTTAAAGAAGAAATAGGGGCGAAAAACTTCTAATTGATTAAAGGGCCTTTTTGGAACCTGAGTTTTTTGGGAGTTTGTCTAAAACTTTACTGTAATGCACTGAAGAAGTTTTTGAAAAAATTTTGTAGAAGTTTTTGTAAGGTGAAAAACTTTTTTGTAGAAGTTTTTGAAATGTTACTGTAGACGTTTTTTGGATTATTTTTAGAGGTATTTTTAAAACATATTTTTGAGTATTTTATAATTTATAATTTTTATATTTTTACATTTTTAAACATTTATGCATTTATAATACATTTATAAATTTTAGAAATAAATATATTTATATATTTATATAAAAATATATAAATGTAATATATTATATATAATACGTAATATACATATATTTATAAATGTATAAATATATAATTAATATAAATGTATAAATTATAAATGAATATTATATAAATGTATAAATTATAATTTATAAATTTATATGGTGATTATGTATAAATGTATTAATATAAATGTATAAATGTATTAATATTATGTATAAATGTATAATTAATATTGTTTATAATTTATAATTTTTATTGTTCAAATATTTATATGCATTTATAATACATTTATGAATAAATATATTTATATATTTATATAAAAATATATAAATGTATTATATTATATATAATACATAATATACATATATTTATAAATGTATAAATGTATAATTAATATAAATGTATATATTATAAATGAATCTTATATAAATGTATAAATTATAATTTATAAATATATGTGATGATTATGTATAACTGTATTAATATAATTAATATAAATGTATAAATGCATTAATATTATGTATAAATGTATAATTAATATTGTTTATAATTTATAATTTTTATTGTTTAAATATTTATATATATTTATGCATTTATAATACATTTATAAATAAATATATTTATATAGTTATATAAAAATATATAAATGTATTATATTATATATAATACATAATATAAATATATTTAAATGTATAATTGTATATTATTATAAATGATATTATATAAATATATAAATTAATATATTATAAATATATAAATATATAATATTATGTATAAATGTATTAATATAATTAATATAAATGTATAAATGTATTAGTATTATGTATAAATGTATAATTAATATTGTGTGTTAATATTATGTATAATTGTATATAAATATACATAAATATATATGCATAAATGTGTAATATATATAATATGTCTTATATATATTAAATATATAATATTTATATAAATGTATAATTACATATTAATATTAATATTAATTTATATGGTATATATTATTTATATAAATATATAAAAATATATTTTAAATAAAATAAAATATTTATAGTAAAGCAGAGCTTTGTTACAGGAACGGATCCCTAAGTGCGGACCTTTGGTACTTGGAGCAGAGGAGAGAGTGTGCAGTGAAGCAGAGCTTCTTCCTCTCAATCTTGCTTAGTCCGATATACCACAGATCTTGTTACAGAAAATCTTTTATTTTTGTAATTTTCTTGTTCTTCTAATTTTTGTCTTTCTATTAATTTTAATTCAGAGTATTTATGCCAAAGTAAATCTACTTTTGCTTGTCTTAAATTTTTTAGAAATGATGCGGGGTGGTGGTGTGCTACTTTAGATAATCTAGCTTTTTCTATTTGTATATGTGCCAAACACTGGTCTGTTGTTTCAATTTCTCTAAAATTTTGTCAAAATAATAATAAGTATCTGGTTGTCTGAGAGTTTGTAATGCTAATCTGTATGCGTTTTCTGGAGAGGATGTAAATGAAAAGGCGGTTCAAAATTCATATAAAATATCAGGATGATTAACTGGAATTTAAGAAATAAATGACTACTAGATACTTTAAGAAAGATAATGAGATTTTACCTTCCTTGCTTTAAATCCAAATTTTCCTTCTGATGCTATGAAAATGGGAATCTTGTGATTAGGAGTTTTGCCTCACCGGATCTTCCCCTGGCGCCTGTTTGTAACTGAAAGGCTTTGATGGGTACTACACCGTCTTTTGGTCTTTTAGAATCCTAAAAACAAGGTATCTTTTTCAAAGTTTCCGGTTGTTTGGATCTAATCTAGGGTTGGCTGCCTAAATCTCTACTTTCTTATTTCTCTTTCGTCTTATGCTAGCAATATGAGAGAGCTAAGAACTGCTAAGGAGTATGAAATTGGAGTTTTTATTGGATGCTTTAATTTACAGGATGTAAGTGCATCGTACCCAACATTGGTTTGGGACGTATGCCTTTATAGACTTCTTGTATAAACTGTGCGGACTTAAAAATTTTTGACTCGAAGTCCGTGGATATGACATGCTAACTTTACGGACTTAAAACCTACTGAAATCCGTAAAAACATCAAATCAATAATGCCTAACTATACAATGTAGCTGACAACTAATGAAAACTTTATGACCGGCCTATACATAGATTCTAAATAAATTTGGCCAAACTATACAATGTGGCCTGGTAACTAATAAAAGCTTTATGACCAACCTATACATTTTAGCTTTAGACAAGATGGCCGAAGAATTATCCTTCCATCATATTTTCGATGTTGCTTATTTCTTCTGGTCCCATTGTTTCCCAATAATGATCATCATTGTATTCTTCATCTACTTCGATATCCAAATGCCTTGCTCCTGTGCTCATATAATATCCTTCCAAATATTTTTCAAAGACTTCTGGATAATTGGTACTTATAGTGAAATCTTTTTCTAATTTAAACCTGTATGGGACATATATCTTTTGTATTTTATTTTCATATACTAACCTAATTCCATTTTCCCATTGATCTATGAAATGTCTGTAGGCTAATTGGATCATTTTAGCATTTATCAATTGTTCTTTTAATGCTAATGGACATTCCACAAGACTGCTGCTGATTTTCTCTAATTCTTCTGTCGTTCTCCTTGCTGGTGGTATATTGCTGACTGTAATCATCATTCTATGTATTGCTGGTTCTATGTCAAAAAGTCCTGTCCATTCTGCTGGTGCTGTTTTGATATGTACAGTTGCCCACTGTCCATAGTCTAACATTTTTCTGATGAAATATCCAAGATGAGTTCCAAGACAATGAGTATCCTCTGGATTTGTAACAATGATTTTTTCTAGAAATCCGGTATCCATGAGAAATTGTGGTGTTAAAATAACTCTTTCCCCATTTACTCTTAGTATCTTTGGGGATGAATATTTTGATAAGATAATAGTTGCTCTGAGGAAAAAATTGCTGAGTGTATGTATACAATGGCTATTTATTTTCTGGTGGTCACAGGCTTCTGGATTGTTTGGGCAATGTTTTTCTGGGTCGATGAAGAAAGATGGATGTAGTCTAATGGCTGCTGTATTTCTAATTGGGTCTTTTGCTATTTCATAAAAATATTGTTGGACTGCCATTAATTTTGAATAATATTGGGCTTGGGCTTTTTGGCTAATAATTTCTTGGATATGTAAAGGGAGGAAACCAAGTAGGTGATATGGTTTAAAGGATATTCTGGGTTAAGAAATTCAAATGGTCTTTCTGAAATGGGCTTTTCTTGTATAAAAATTGGCTGTTTTATTGGGCCGGATGAAGAACTGGCCATTTGAGATGCTGTATGAGACAGCCTTCCTTTAAGCTCCCCAATCTCAGAAATTTGTGAGAGAATAGTATCTCCTTGTGAGCCTGAAATCTTATACATTTCTTTGAGTTGTTCAGTTAAAGACTTTATTTTTCTTTTTGGGAAAAATCCTCTTCTTCAAAATTTCTACACTTTAAATTTAAACTTCTAATAGCTTGTTCCATACTTTTGCAATGTCTACAAAATTCTATTCTGTTTGTGTTATCTTTTTCTAATGCATATTGGTAATTTCTACTGCTACTAGGGGCATCTGTATGTTGATATACTGGCACCCTCATGCTATCCATGCTAGCTTTAGGATCTACATAAAATGTTGTTCCTATATTTTGCCTAGCAAATTCTAATGCTTCATGTATGCTATGAAATGCTTTCCATAAAGGATTATGAAAATGATTTATTTGTTCTATAACGGAAATCCATTTGGAATAAATTCCAGGTGTTTTTCCTTTAATTACTACGTAATATGAAAAACTTTGTTTTGGAAGATTACTAAAATAAAATGCTAAGATATTAAGATTTCTAACTTTATCAGCGCTATTTCTGCTATTCCAGAGGTTATTTAAGATATCCTGCTGGATGTCTTCTAAATTACCTTCCTCTTGGCTATGGAAATGTAGACTTGTACCTTTAGGGTACTTTGTAAGTTCCCACTGGCCAATTTTGACTTTCTGGAAGTTATATGCCATTTGCTAAGAGATCAGAAGAATTGTTAAAAAGTCGTGATAAAAAATCTGCTAAATTATTATCTTTACCTTTAATGTGTTCGAAAACTACTTTATATCCATTACCAATAATACTATCTACAAAATTTAACCACCTTCTAGTAGAACTTCTTTTTTCATTATGTTTATCAAAAAACTTTTTTATTGCTTCACAGTCTGTTCTAATAGTTATTTCAGATTTGTTTATTATAAAAAGTCTAAAATTATCCAAACTATATTTTACTGCTAATAATTCATTATCTATACTACTTCTATTGCCTTTTTCCTTATATTTACCACTAGCATATCTACAGATTTTTTCATTATTTTTATCTATATTTATTTGGTTTTGCAAAAAGAACTGCTCCCCATCCGGTACTGCTGCCATCACATTCTATTATCAAGTAATCTGTGTCTAATGGTAATTTAGATCATGTAAATTGCCTATTGTTTGTTTAATTTCTTGTATTAGTTTGACGTCTTCTCTATTAAAGAATTTTGTCCTTTTAAAGAAGTTTTATTATACAATGGTGCTACTAGGTTATTTAGATTTTTAATAAAAGGTCTTGCATAATTTAATAATCCTAAGAATTGTTGAAGTTTCTTTGTTTCTTCTATCTTATCTGGAAATTCTAAAACCTTTTTACAAATATGTGGTTGTAATCTTATTTTTCCTTGTCC